TTTTTTTTTTTTTTTTTTTTTGAGGCGGAGTTTCGCTCTTGTTGCCCAGGCTGGAGTGCAATGGTACAATTTCGGCTCACCACACCTCGGCCTCCTGGGTTAAAGCGATTCTCCTGCCTCAGCCTCCCGAGTAGCTGGGATTACAGGCGCCCGCCATCATAGCTTGCTAATTTTGTATTTTTAGTAGAGACAAGGTTTCACCATGTTGGCCAGGCTCATCTCGAACTCCCAACCTCAGGTGATCCACCCGCCTCAGCCTCCCAAAGTGCTGGGATTACAGGCGTAAGCCACCGCGCCTGGCCTGTAAGCAAATTTTTTAATGTGTCTGAGTCTGTCTCAATTTATTCCTCTGTAAAATGGGGCTAAAAATCAATGTGCTGCCCACATATAGGGCTGTTCAAAGACTCAGATGGGGTTGTAATGTAAGGTAAAGTAAGAAATTCTAGTAAGGGGAATGTAACCTTCTTGTGATTTTTGTGAGTTAGGAGATGAGAGAGGTTTCCAGTTCTTTCTTTTCATGTTGTTTTGGTTCCCTCCAGGTGGAGAGCACGATGGAACAGAACTTCCTGCAGGATAAAGAGGGCGTTTTCCCCCTGCATCCTGAGCTGCTCTCCTCCCTTGGGGAGGAGGAGCTGACCCTCACAGAGGCCCTAGTTGGGCTGAGCGGCCTGGAAGTGCAGAGATCGGGCCCCCAATATATGTGGGACCCAGACACCCTCCCTCGCCTCTGTGCTCTTTATGCTGGCCTCTCTCTCCTTCAGCAGCTGACCAAGGCCTCCTAATTTGCCTTTTACGTCTGCTTCATGACTCCCTAATGCCTTCCCAACCTCGTGGTGCTGTGTCCTTACCACCTAAGGGCATTTCAGAGCCATCAGCTGACGACATCTGAAATCTCAGCTGGTGACCCATGATAACCAATTTCCACCTGTCCAACCATGTATCACCCCCTACCCCTCCAGCTCCGCGACCCACTAAGCCCATCTGCTGATGCTTAAATTTTCTTTTCTTTTCTTTTCTTTTTTTTTTTTGAGATGGAGTCTCACTCTATCGCCCAGGCTGGAGTGCAGTGGCGTGACCTTGGCTCACTGCAACCTCCGCCTCACGGGTTCAAGAAATTCTCATGCCTCAGCCTCTCGAGCAGCTGGAATTACAGGCACGTGCCATGACACCTGGCTAATTTTTGTACTTTTAGTAGAGACGGTTTCACCACGTTGTCCAGGTTGGTCTCGAACTCCTGGCCTCAAGTGATCTGCCCGCCTCGGCCTCCCAAAGTGCTGGGATTACAGGCATAAGCCACCGTGCCCGGCCTATGCTTAAATATTCTAGAAGTAGAAGCACTCAGACTTTTAAAACTATGAGTCTCTTCAGCAAAACTGAAAAAAAAAAAAAAAGATTAATTTCTTATCCTAATTCCTCCTACTTATACTTCCCCAAAAAACAAGCTTTACTGAAATTAATGGAAAATATTATGTCAATCTTAGGATAATATGTCTTTTGGTGTTTTTCTTTAAAGAATTTATCATACAGAAATTCTTAATTTGTGCCAGAAAAAGAAATTATTATCATACTGCATATAGATCATATGTACATGAATATGATGCTGTACTGTCCTCAGGCAAGCTGGAAAATGCTCAGAGGGTACAGAAGGTGGAATCTAGATTCTTTTTTTTTTTTTCTGTTCAATTAGTTTTCTTTAATGGAGTCTAGATTCTCAAGTGAGAAGATATCAAAGCAGTTTGTCTTCAAAGAAGAGCATTTGGGGGTCCCCTAGCTCTGGGTTGAGGGAAAGACCTAGAGATATGTAGTAGAAGCCCGAAACAAAAATAAGACAAATTTTCAAATTTATTGAACAGAAAATGCAGATGGGCCTTTAAAAAAAAAAAAAAAA